TGGACGTTCGTGTTTATGATTGTGCACCAAGAATTGCCCATACATAAGTTCTTATTGATTCATTAACTCTTACAACTCCTGGGTTAGTAAATGTATTTTCTGTTTTATCATTAAGAAATTCATTCCAAGCATTTCCAGGTGGTTGCTCCACTCAGACGCCAATCTTTACTCTCAGAAACATTAAATTCCTGACAAATATGTTCGAATGCCAACCTATTGTACGGATTATTTGATGCATTCCATGCTCGATCCTGCGGTAATGGAGCACTAATTTCTTTAAGATTACGTCTAATCTGATAGTACACGTGAAATGATAAAACAGACTTATTTAGTTCAAATCCTGGGGCATAAAGAGATACACCACATCCTGTTGTTGCACACCATATGGCAAAGTTTAACTGGTTCTGCCAAAATTGCATTGGATTGTGAAACCAATCGTGCACCATTTTATCGCTAGTTGCTGTGACCCTGTATTTTTCAAAGATATCAGGGAATTTAAAAAAAAATAGCACCAGAGGCACTTACTAAAATTGACTGATTAGTAATGTAAGTTGATTTCATATTTAAGTTATGATATAGTATCTTTGTATATTTAATATGTATATTACACTCCCAGGAATAACAAATGGTCAGTCTATTGAACTGCTTCATACTATCGATAACTCGGATGGACAACTTGAAGTCGCTCTCTGGGATGTAACGTATTACCCGCAGTGGACCAATATAAATGCTGCAAGAGAAAATAATGAGTTAAGTACTTTTAACAAACACCACACTATATCTGATGGGTATTACAGCGTATGCTCACCCAATGATGAAATTTTTAAGCCTTTGGGAGCTATTCTCACACAAAATGAGTCGAATGGGATACTGAGTTTAAGCCCTGGAGAAGAACAAATAGAACTTCACCCGTACTTAGCAGTAGATACACTTGGATTACCAACGAAAATGACAATACAACCCAACACAACAGTGCAGGGATTTAAATTACCCGATTTAGTTCCCTATAAAGAACTGTGCATCCATCTTGATCAGATAAGTACGACGGATAATATTCAACTCGAAAGTCCTTCAACTCTACTGAGAGCTATTCCAGTCAAAGATGAAAAATATAATAGCGGTAGAACAGAATCTTTCTCATCATTACAATATAAAAAATTAAAGAGGGGTATTATTTCAGACCTCAAAATTTCTGTATTAGATGTAAAACATCAACCTGTACATATAGGATACTTGAGTGTAACACTCCATATTATAAATAATGGTTGATTCATCAGGCCCTGCAACACTCAGACAATGTAATACAATTGCCCTTTCCCATCTCGGAGACACAGAAGGATTCGGTAAACCCGGTACCGATGGTAAGTTATACGCTTTACACTTACAAGATAATGTATACAAGCGGAAAGAAGTTACATTCACAGGTAATCTAGGAGATTTAAGCGATGTCAACACTTCGTATAATCTTACTCGCAACGATGATAATAAATGGACTATGATCGAAGCAAAAATCGAGTGGCTACTTAATAATGTCATTACCCCACCATATGTGATGACGGGTAAGGCACATAATTTAACTAAGATACTAAATAGTGGGATCATACTCGGGGCTTATATTCCGTCAAAACGAAAAGTGTGTTAGTCTCTCCCCAGCCAGACAACCCAGGTCATATGTTATTGAGTCGTCCGGCATAAGAAAATGTTAGTTTAAATTTGTTTACTTAATTCAATAATATTAAAGATAACTTGAGTGCCATACCTGATCTTTCTACGCTTATTATTGAAGTCTTGTTTGGAGATGCACCGGTAGATGCCTTCAAAATATTGCTAGGTCTATCAATTAAATGGTTTAAGAAACACCAACGTCAACGTTGCAGTATTATTTATATGGGAGTATCACCCGTTGCAACCCTTGAGGGGGTCCAAATTATTAAAAGTGACAGCATTTCTCTTACTAAGATATTCATGCCGTATAATATACATTTAATAAGGTTGATGTATACTCTCAAAACATTGAAGCAAGACCAATTAAAGACTGTTATATGATATAATAATATACACAATGGGTTTATATCCAGCGCTCGATGAAAAGATGGATACTGTTGATGGATTTTGATTACATCAAATAAGCGACATAAAACATTGAATAGAGAAGGAGAGGGAGTTGAGACTTGGATTGTATAAAAAGTATCGCAGAGCTGTGAATGCTCTCGACGGAGTTGACACCGTGCTTGTAACAGCTGGCACGGTGTTGGTTTATTATCAACTATAATCGCCGCGCCTCTCGTACTTGGCATGGAAATAGCGGCTGGAGTCTCAGGACTGGCAGGAATAGCGCTAAAATTTATTTCTCATAGGTTGCAAAAGAAAGCATTAAAACATGATAATATTCGGATACTCGCCGAAGCAAAGTTAAACAGCATTGAGGACCATATTTCAACAGCAATGGCTGATTGTAAGATATCCGAGGAGGAATTTCGTTAAGTGTTGTCAGAACTCACCAAATACAACGCAATGAAGCAGGAGATTCGATCAAATTCTCGTAAGACCAGTGATATTAGCGAAGACGATAAAAAAAAGTTCATAGAACAGGGGAGACAACAAGCACGTCAATTATTCCGTGCCAAAACCAAAGAACTTGTTGGAGATTAAAATTAGATTGCTGCCTATCATTAGATCACATTTAAATGAATGCTTACATAAGTATATAATAATGGAGAATTACAAACCAACAAAAGAAGAACTCGAAAAAGCTATCGAAGGGACAAAATTATCAAATGGAGAGAATTACCACAAGGTATATATTATATCAGTGATGTCAAACCAACCAAATACGGTCATCAATTGTTTCTTTCCAATTACCAAGAAGAGTATATAGTCTGGTCTCCTAGTAAAATGAACGAAGAACTTAGTAAAAATGTTGAATATCACTTTGTTAAAAATAATGGTATACGTATGAATAAATATAATAGAGAATATTTTCATTACAATTTAGTTTAGTCTCATCATTGTTTTTGTACTAATGGTGTCATTGATTGGCTCCAGGTAGTGGTGAGCTAGAGCCAATTTAACTTAGTCTCATGACGATTGTTGAATCGCATCAGCGTTTACACATAAAAAAATCCCCCTGTAGTGGTGGTATAGGTATATAAATCTGGCTTCAGTGGAAGTGGTCCAGAACCCTCATCATCTATACTACTCGAGTATCCACAACTATATTTTGGAGAGTATTATAAAGAGACCTCCCTTAATAGTTGTGGTTGCAAGCTCAGTTGCAGCGTGCTTGACATCTTCGTTACCCTCCCGGTATAGACTGTTCCACTGTGAGGAGCTTCTTTACAGCCGACATTTTCATTCAAGACATTTCACGTGGTTACAGTTTTCTGCCAGCTTGCAACACTCTTTACTTGATTCAACAACATGCATGTGCCTCTTTCAAAACACTGAGACAAATTCTGGACATTTGTGAGTGCACTGTAAACCTAATCCTGTGCATTTCATGTAATTTGTTTATAATCCCCCACCCCAACGAAGTTGTCTGAGGATATAAAAACAGGCTTCATCCATCTGTCTCAGCATAAGAGAAATTGGTACACACATTCACCATATGGTGTAGATGTGTCTTTTGCTGTCTATGATTCCCCAGAATTTTCTTTTCTTTCATATGAATTTTATAAATTTAGACTTAGTCCCTGAACTGAATGAAAGCAGTGGGTTTCATTTCCGGAACAGAACTGGAAAATTATTCTAGAGATATCTTTAAAAAACTTGGTATACATTCACCACTTGGTGTAGATGTGCCTTTTGCTTTTTATTATTCCCCCAATTATTTTGTTTTTATATAAATTTTGTAAATTTAGACTTGAACTGAATGAAGCAATCTTAACAATTTTACCTCAGTTCTGTTATACACTTTTCCGTGAAACTTTGTACAATATCAGTCTAAGGCTGTTATAAAGTCTATGTTCTTTAACATTTTAAAATTATGTTTTATTTTCATATTTCAATTAAATGGCACACCATCTTTTGTAGACATTGCAACAAAGCTATAAGAGGATTCATAGTAGATGTACTTAGAAATTCACCAGGTTTTGAGGGGTGAGCATGTTCACAGCTTTTGTACCTTACTCTGGTAACTAGCTGTAAGGGCAGGGCTGCAACAATACATGCCTGTATAACAATGTTCAACAATACAATTCATTATATCTAAATTGTCTAGTGCTCAAGGATACAAAATAGTTTTAGCCTTCACGTACTGGAAGATGATTATAACCTTTGTTTATCATTACAGTCTTACTAATGCAGATATTTGTACACAGTTTTATGGAGATGTTATGCAATAGCTCTTGTATTCAACCTCTTCTTCAAGCAGGTGGATAAGCTGATAATTTACAAAGTCACTTCTGATTGCGCGTATCATTGTCTTTAAGATTGGACAAGTTCAACTATGGGCGGGGAATATAGATGACTTTGTCTTCTTGTTATTCATTAATCGTGTGGTTATTTACTGATTTCATAATTTGATTCTGTACACACCGATTTCTGGGTCCGTTTCAACTTTGGAATCAACACGTAACTGGATCTGTTTTGATTTATAGGATTGTTTTTGTTGAGAACATATGTTGATTTAAAATCTAGTAATAAGGATTTACTTTGAAATGTTTTTGAGTTCATTGAGGTTTGCACTGTAATGCTTACATATCCTAGATTGCTTGCTTGGAGACAGACACCAGATGTTCACAATAATATGTCCTTAAACATTGCTCCACTGGGAGAAAATGAATATGAAAAAGATGATCGATATTTTAAAACTAGTTAATACTTGCAACCCTATGACTGTGGGTCCCAGATTCACTTAATATGTTATGATCCTTAGTTATGATTGAAATACTGTACAAAGCTGAATTAAAAGCGACTCAGTGCTGTGCCATGTTACTGTTTTAATTTATACCCAATTAAAGTAATTTTGTCAAATATTCATCAGTCTTTTCTGATCTCAGGGAAAACCAGCCTGATCAAGGCACTGACAGCCGACAGACAGCTGGAGCCGAGGGACCAGTTGTTTGCCACTCTAGATGTGACAGCCCATGGAGGAACTCTGCCCAACATGATGTCTGTCCTCTTCATTGATACAGTAGGCTTCATAGCAGACATTCCTGTCATGCTCACTGAGGCTTTTGCAGCAACATTGGAGGATGCTGTTCTGGCTGTAAGTACAAGTACATGTCGACTTTCAATACATTATAGCAAGACCTGGTCTTTATGTGGATGCCATGCAGGTCAATAGCATTGAGGATGTATCGGCCCTGGCTGATTTTGTGTCATTCTACCCTAAGAGTTTGGATCATTTCTGATAAATCAACTACTTGTGTGTGACATGTACTGTTCCAGGACCTGGTCCTACTTGTGTGTGACATGTACTGTTCCAGGACCTGGTCCTACTTGTGTGTCACATGTACTGTTCCAGGACCTGGTCCTACTTGTGTGTGACCTGTACTGTCCCAGGACCTGGTCCTACATATGTGTCACATGTACTGTTCCAGGACCTGGTCCTACTTGTGTGTCACATGTACTGTTCCAGGACCTGGTCCTACATATGTGTCACATGGACTGTTCCAGGACCTGGTCCTACTTGTGTGTCACATGTACTGTTCCAGGACCTGGTCCTACTTGTGTGTGACCTGTACTGTCCCAGGACCTGGTCCTACATATGTGTCACATGTACTGTTCCAGGACCTGGTCCTACTTGTGTGTCACATGTACTGTTCCAGGACCTGGTCCTACATATGTGTGACATGGACTGTTCCAGGACCTGGCCCTACTTGTGTGTCACATGTACTGGTCCTACATATGTGTGACATGTACTGTTCCAGGACCTAGTCCTACTTGGGTGTCACATGTACTGTTCCAGGACCTGGTCCTACTTGTGTGTCACATGTACTGTTCCAGGACCTGGTCCTACTTGTGTGTCACATGTACTGTTCCAGGACCTGGTCCTACATATGTGTGACATGTACTGTTCCAGGACCTGGTCCTACTTGTGTGTCACATGTACTGTTCCAGGACCTGGTCCTACATATGTGTGACATGTACTGTTCCAGGACCTGGTCCTACTTGTGTGTCACATATACTGTTCCAGGACCTGGTCCTACTTGTGTGTCACATGTACTGTTCCAGGACCTGATCCTACATATGTGTCACATGTACTGTTCCAGGACCTGGTCCTACTTGGGTGTCACATGTACTGTTCCAGGACCTGGTCCTGTAAGTATGTAACATATATTGTTCCAGGACCTGGCCCTATATGTGTGTGACATGTACTGTTCCAGGACCTGGTCCTACTTGTGTGTCACATGTACTGTTCCAGGACCTGGCCCTATATGTGTGTCACATGTACTGTTCCAGGACCTGGTCCTACTTGTGTGTCACATGTACTGTTCCAGGACCTGGTCCTACTTGTGTGTCACATGTACTGTTCCAGGACCTGGTCCTACTTGTGTGTCACATGTACTGTTCCAGGACCTGGTCCTACTTGGGTGTCACATGTACTGTTCCAGGACCTGGTCCTACTTGTGTGTGACCTGTACTGTTCCAGGACCTGGGTCCTCTTGCACAAAGCGATCTTAGTGCTACAATTATTGTAAATCCTTAAGATCGCGATCTTAGGCTTCGGCTACAATCGTTATCCACTTGCACAAAGCGATTGTAGGCTAAGATCATTGTAAGCTATAATCGAAACTTACAATTGGTCCGGACCAATCTTATGTCCTTACAATCGTCCAAGATGGCGTCTACGGTGCTATTTTGCGAAGAATATGACAGTTTTATTGGGAGAGAAAGGTTTTTTAGAGATAGAACCATGCAACTCGAAATTCTAAGTGCAACGAGCTGTATGCGCCATACAGAATGCCTCGTTCGTCCTTGTTCCAGTTAGTGGACAAAGTTCGACCATTAATAGAGCACCCCACAAAATGTTCGTATGCCGTAACGCCAGAGACACAGTTTCTTGTTACACTGCGTTTTTTAAGTAAGGGTGGGTTCTTGCTCGAGATGGGTGATCTGCACGGTGTGCACCAGTCCAGTGTGTCAAGGGCATTTCACAGAACTGTGTCTGCCCTGAGCACTGTGTGGGAGAATGTCCAATTCCCAGAACCTGCGTCCTTTCCTGCCGTTATGTGTGGCTTCCACAAGATCGCGGAGATGCCACGAGTAATAGGTGCCATTCATGGTACCCTTATACCCATAAAAAGACCTAGCAGAGATGACGAATCGGCATTCGTGTGCAGGAAGGGGTTTCATGCCATCAACGTACAAGCCGTGTGTGATGCGAATCTTCGGTAAGAACACATTTTCATTCAAATAAAACAAAAAGCATCATAATAGTACTCCACGCACATGCTAACAGATTCTAACATAATGCGTGGAAATAAAAGTTGACATTTTCCTTCGTTTTCCTATGGTCTTTTTCCTTTGACATGACCATATTCAATCCTTTTGAAAAGAATAAGTAATCGCATCTTGTTTGCACCAATGTATCTATAAGGCTATTTCTATATCTCACAATCAATTATAGGAACACACAAATTATTTGAAGCGCCTGTAAAATGAACAATATATAATTTATGTTAGAGAAAACAAAATTATCACATCGGGTGTATTTAACGAAGTTGTTTTTATTAAGTGATATAATATATGAAAATGTGAACATTATGAAAGTATAGGTTAAATACAACAACAGAAGGGGGGGGGGGGGATCATAAAATGAAAATTATTTCCATAGCAGACAATTACATCTTTGAATGATATATATTTATGTACAGCCTTTGTATAGTGTTCAATTTCATTTCATTCTACAGTTTTATGAGATGAATAACTTTTTTCTGGTACCAAGTGAGTAAAACAAATGCCTGTTTTTGAAAATTGAATATGAAATAAAGATTTCTGTGAGTACTATGTAACTTATAACTGGCATAACTGATAAAGGAAGGAAGGGGGTGGTGGTTCAAATATAGACCAGGAATGGCAAAACCAGGATGATTAATTAAATCCTCTTTCCTTAATAATAATGCTTTTCATTACACTGATTTGAATTGTCAAACATGTCATTCAGGTTCACCAATGTTGTTGCAAGGTGGCCTGGAGGAAGCCATGACTCTATGATACTGGCCAACAGCCTTTTGGGACAGACATTTGAGTCCTCTCCTCCAACTGGATGGCTTTTAGGAGATTCTGGGTAATAATTCCTTCTTTCATCATTTTGAAAATAAAAACAAATCACAAAATTAATAAGTGACTCACTTACTTTACAGAACACATTCACCCTTAATTTCAAGCTTACACATCTCAAACAAGCAACTTCAATCACAAGTAATTTAATAAATGTAATAAGTTTTAAACATGTATTATTAACGAAAATATCAATGTAGTGAACGTTTTTCATCTTCATATAGATATGCATGCAGGCCCTGGCTCCTAACACCAGTAGGTGATGCCACTACAAGGCCACAACAAAGGTACAACGGTGCCCACATGAAGACCAGAAACACCATTGAAAGGGCACAACAAAGGTACAACGGTGCCCACATGAACACCAGAAACACCATTGAAAGGGCATTTGGTGTTTTGAAATCAAGATTCAGGTCAGTGAATAAAACTATACAGTTTTTAGTGGAATTATATCATTCAGCTCTCATATATCATATAGATTCTGAAAAAACAAATATTTAAAACCTCCTATTATGTCTACAATGACTTGGCAAACTAGATTTATTCAATTTCTGAAGAGGAAGAGATTCATTGAATTACTTTACCGGTATATGACACATTAAATGTTGCTGTTTTGTTTGGCCTTGAAATGTCTTAATTCCAACTTCTAAATTATGTAGATACCATTGTATTAATTTCCAAATATGAATTACTTTCAGATGCCTACACAAATCATCCGGGTGCCTTCAATTTACCCCCAAAAAATGTGCACAAATTATTATGGTAGCATTTAAGCTACATAATTTCTGTGTAGAATCTCGGCTGGCCAATCCACATGCTCTGGAGAAAGAAACTGTCCCAGAAATGAATTACACGTATCAGGGACCTCTGAATGATGGCCACAGGATGAGGAAGGAGTTAATCCAGAAAAAATTTGCATAAATGTCAAATGTAATAATCTGACATTTCCAAATGTACATCATATAATAGTCTTGTTACAGTACTTGAATATGATGTATTTGATTCTGATAGATGATGAAGTAAACTCTGTTAAAAAAACAGATAAGACAGGAAATGTTGCACCATAATATCAACATTTATTGTTAGTGTAGTGATGAGGTGCTGTATTATCTATTTACATATTCAAATAGAGAGCAATATACCGGTAACAAAGACTTCAACTTGGAAGACCAGTTAATCTTACCATGACGTGCACTTGGATTTAACATATTGTATTTTTTTCTAGGGTATCTGATATCTGGCATTATTAACAACTGAAACCAGTATATAGTTACACGTTTAACTGCTAATATGCATTAAATGACATCATTAAAAGAGATATTGATTTTATTGTCAAATAATAAATGTATCTAATCTGAAATCTAAGTGAACTTAATCATGGGGGACAATGTGAAAGGGGAAGTTAGGGATTTGTTTTTCATCAAAATTAACATCTCCTCATCAATGGCCAATCTCTTTTCCTCAACAGCCTGTCGCCTCTCTTCAATGGCCAGTCTCTTCCTCTCAATGTCCAACATCTCGTGCAGCACCTGTAGTTTCTCTCTCTCGAGATCCACAACGGTTTGGAACTTTGGAGATTTTACTATTTAACATAAGTAATTAAGAATCCATTTAAGTAATTGTTGTTATAATACAGACAATGCAATTAAAAGTTGCTGATATATCTCACTACTGTTATAAAATACTACATTAAAATTGTTCATAGAGAATCATTACATAAATACAATTGTGAAAATGGAAATGTTTAACAAACATAATATGTTTACGGTACCTGCGGCTATTCTCTTAACTGCTGTCTTCTGTATGAATCCTAGGAAATGAAGAAACATCCATACTTTTATGGACAGAAGCATAAACATTGATCAGCAAGAAATGAGTACTGTTCAGAAAATTAATATTGTCCACAACAAATAAGAAATATGTTACCATTATGAAACAATTTGGTATGTTACATTACTGAACAAAATGAAATGTACAATGTAAGTATAATATGTTGATTTTAATCACCTGTGGGTGAAGCTACCACTGATTGAGAGCTTTCTGTCTCAATAGGGTCCTGACAGTCATGGACATCAAAGGTGCTGGGGACATCTACAAGAAAGTAAAACTTTAAACTTGTTATTCACAACAAGAAATTGGGCAACAATTAATGATTTACATTAGACGTTAATTGGGTTAATTTGATGTGAGTATCCAGTTGTTTCAAAAATTGATTTGCATTTTCCAATGAAACAGTTAAAATATTTTTTGCACTTACCGCCACACAAACCACTCTCAAGGCCACCAGGAATGCCATCGATCTGGCAGGTAGGTATCAAGCATATAACCTAAAAATATAAATTGATGTAATATTGTAAATCAGCGGGCATTAATTTTTATCTGAAATAAATGAAATTTTACCAATTATAAAATCATTACACAAGGCTATTTTCTTAATTTTTGAATGGATGTAGGAAGCTTTAAAAACATAATAATATCAACCAGCATTTTACTTGCCTTGACATATTTGCACTATTGCTATAGTATTAATCTTTGATCAAACTTAAAAATTCATTACCATGCTTTTATAGTGTATATATAAAATATGGATATATACTAGGGCTGTTACGATTCACTCGCGTATTCGGTGAATCGAACCATATCCATTCATGAATTGAATTCATTATTCATGGCCACTAGAATCGAATATTTATGAATATGCAAGCATATGCATCTACATAAAAAAAATACCCATACGAACATATTTTATGCATAGATTTCTTCATAAGACAGCACTATTATACTATTTAATTTGACAGTATTGTGGTCACTGGTCATTGTTGCATTTGAGCAGATACTAGTACCTGGATAAATGCAGTGTATAAATTAATAATATATTTAATAATATATTAAAAATTAACAAACCATGTCAAATAATTTTTATGTTGTTGTTGCCTAACTGAACATGCTGAATATGACAAATGATATATTATCAGTTGATTTGTTATTGTATTCATGAATAATTATTCGTATTTGTTACCCTATATTCATGATACAAATTGTATTCGCCTCATAGTGTATTCGTTGCAGCCCTAATATATACCTTATTTTCCAAATTGGAAAGTGGGTTTGGAGCAGGGCCTCCTCCTGTTTTGCTCAGCTCCCTCTTTCTTGTTTGTTCCTTCTTCCTCATTTGACATCTGTTTTATCACCAATCTTGTCAATATTAGGTTCTTAATACATACATATGCACATACTTAAAAACACTCTTTTGTTTATGTTTAAAAAATTATTTTGGGTGCTTAACAAAAATATTTACTGCCTAACGTGTACTCAAATCAGGCAGTTATTTCTGATGTTTATTTACTACTGGTGTCTGAATAAAATGTCAAATGTATGAGCACATAGGTGATTTTTGTGTATTTTGTGTGACAGAAATATATCACATTACTTCAATATGGAAAGTGACATCCTTGCATATTTCTTTCTTAAATGACTTAATTCTAATTTATAAAATAATAATAGTTTTATTATATCAAGACATGTTCTGTACCGGACACTGACCTTAATAGTGAATCTTCGCACATTTTCTGCCACACCATTACTCTCGAAACACATATAATTAATCACGACAATACGGATATACCAGCAAATTACATTCTATACACAGTGTCAAGATATTAATACATCATAATCAATGCTTAATTGTAACCTACTTGAGTTCGTTCCATTTCCTTCTAACATCGGACCCATTCCGTTTGCTCGAGCCGACGGCACTGACCCTAAACATAAACTTAAACATGGTAGTGTAACGAAGTGGCAAGTATACGTGATAACGAATGATGTTTCGGGGTCTTCTATTAAAAATATCCAATTTCATGAAAACTACTGCACAATGAACTGTAGAAATACGACCCAGCTATTTCATGTTATACATAAATGTTTCAGTTTCCATTAGTATATATACGGTATTTAAAAGTGGTACAATGTTCTTACTTCTCGGCGATGATTCCCCACAGGTCAGTCTTTCGTTTATTCGTCACGATCGGGGAAAATTGGGCGAACAAGACATCGTTGTTGGCTGACACTTCGTCTGTGAGCACAGTTAGCTCTTGCTCGGAGAAATTGCTTCTTCGGGATCTCTTGTCTGTTGACATTATGACTGACACTGACAGGTTTACAATATAGAACAATGTATCGTCTGCCGCTGCAAGGGAGATAACCCTACACCGTAGCCAATGATGCGTGACAGGTTTTTTTACCTCCACCGCTGAAGAGTTTGATCTTAGTTAAGATCGCGATCTTAAATCCAAGCAGTCTTACAATCGCACTAAGATCGGTTTGTGCAAGTGGAATAGGACAATTGTATGGTCATTGTAAAGTTGATTGTAGCCGCCTAAGATCGATTGTAACTAAGATTGTTCTGTGCAAGTGGGCCCTGGTCCTACTTGTGTGTCACATGTACTGTTCCAGGACCTGGTCCTACTTGTGTGTCACATGTACTGTTCCAGGACCTGGTCCTACTTGTGTGTCACATGTACTGTTCCAGGACCTGGCCCTACTTGTGTGTCACATGTACTGTTCCAGGACCTGGCCCTACTTGTGTGTGACATGTACTGTTCCAGGACCAGGCCCTACTTGTGTGTGACATGTACTGTTCCAGGACCTGGCCCTACTTGTGTGTGACATGTACTGTTCCAGGACCTGGTCCTACTTGTGTGTGACATGTACTGTTCCAGGACCTGGCCCTACTTGTGTGTGACATGTACTGTTCCAGGACCAGGCCCTACTTGTGTGTGACATGTACTGTTCCAGGACCTGGTCCTACTTGTGTGTGACATGTACTGTTCCAGGACCTGGTCCTACTTTTGTTTCACATGTACTGTTAGAGGACCTGGTCCTACTTGGGTGTCACATGTACTGTTCCAGGACCTGGCCCTACTTGTGTGTGACCTGTACTGTTCCAGGACCTGGCCCTATATGTGTGTCACATGTACTGATCCAGGACCTGGCCCTATATGTGTGTCACATGTACTGTTCCAAGACCTGGGCCTAGATTTTCGAAACGATCGTAGCCCTAAAGTTATCGTAAATTTGTTGTAAGGAAATTGTAGACTATCGTAGCATATTTTCAAAACTATCGTAGCCCTAAGATATCTTAATATTGTCGTAAATCTAAGATAGCCACATACCTGTCGTAAGTTTATTTTATCTTCATCCAAGATGGCGGCATACTTTTCCATAGATAATTTGACAATCATTAGTCTGCTTTACGTTCAAACATTGACATTTCATTTTGTAAAACTGTGTGATTCAAATTGACACTTCGAAAACATGAACGCATCAAGGATTTCACGTCAAAAATGATCTTAATTGCGACAGCGATCCACATAACTGTGGAGTCGATAGCTTACAATATATTTCTATCAGAGTCCATGCTGAAAAAGTGTGAAACAACATACCTTTTCGATATTTTGGGAAGGATAAAAATGGAAGGTGTCGGCTCCACAGTAATGACCGTGAGCTCATTGATAACTCAGGGGAGCTAATCTTAGTTCAAACTCTAGTTGAGAGTGGTTTCCCTTTGTATTCGCCCGGGACACCTTCCTCAATGTTACAGTTTTCATAAAGCGCAGAGTTCAGCTGTTATATTTTCTGGATCGCATTTGTGTCAATGCTTTAGTCTTTATTTCGCATTTTATAAAATTATATCAATCTTCATATGTAACAAAAACCTTAAAGGTTTCGCATAAGTTTTTACATCTAAAATCGTGTGGGACGGGTGGTTTTAATAATTGAATTTTAACTATACAGTGTAGTATTTTTTGAATTAACAAGGAAATACATGTGATCAAATACAATATCTAATATTTTTCTTGCAAAAGTAATTGTAATTTGTTTCGTTTTAAATTCAATACCTATGTTATCTATATCATCTTGAAAGACAAATATTTGATATAAAAAAAATGATTAAAAACTGTCTGTTGAACAATTGCATTCTTTAAAAAACATTGATTAACGGCATATAGATGTATTCATTTAAATATAACAATTTACTGATATTTTTACAGTTAAAGTTAAGCACAGATTTTTGTATCGACAAATCAAATAAAAAATGGGGTTCCCATGCTCGTTCTGGTTTTCGTCAAAATGTAGCATGGTTTGCAAATTCCAATATATGTTTGCAGAAAAAAAAAGTTTATTAAATGACATTTGCTGATCAATATAAAACACACATTTTCAACACAATAATCTTTGCATTCAATAAACCGGTTTTAAAATATTTTGGTGTTTTTAATATTTAAGTCCACATCTTCCCGTTTTATGTTTAAAAAATACATAGATATACTTGAGACCATTCAAACAATAAAATAGTTGTCACGTTTAGGGTCAACAGACAAATACTAGTAAATGATCCTCAGCAATTCTGTCAGACAAGCCAAAGATCATTGAACTATGTTCTGGATTAGATTTGACACATTACAAAGTATTTCGCTCCTTTGTCAGATTTAAATGAAATCAGACAAATCAGTTTGTTTGCTCTACTTAATTTAAAGGGATAGAAAATGAATACATTATATGTATGTTTACGTTAACTTGTAGCGTGTTCCATGAGACAACATAACTTGACAATTCCGAAATTATCTCTCTTTGCGAACGAATATTAGTGTCATTTTTAAATTTTGAAAAGAATTATGGCTCTAGATTATGCGTACTTCAGTATGGATTTGTTGACATGGTATTTCCGATGTTTCGTGCATCCAAACTCATAATTCGTGTATAATGCGCACCCCCTTCTACACAGCTGTGTTTTTTCGAAAAAAAGTGTGCACTGTACTCAAGAAAATACGGTAGATAAAAAATAATTTCATCATCTAAATACTTATAGCTTGATATTGTATTTAAGTCCTTGGTTAATTCGTGAAATATATTGGATACATAAATAACAAAACAAACTTAACAAGCTTAGATTGTCATATAAACTTGCTTGTGGGTGCGCTGCTTCCTGAACAATTTTTGTTTTGAGTGTTTCCACGTATAATGTTGGTGTTAACACTAATATAAACTTGACTTTTGACATAAACACAAACATATACAGTATACATCACTTAACATCAGACTTGAACACGCATGTTAAATGCTGAACGCATATGCTGTTGGATCAAAGGTCTCGTCATTGTCACTTAGAATAACGTCCCTTACTTCCGTCCTTGACTTTGTACGCGATGTGTTTATATCATAAAGTTCTGCGCGGTCACGAGAGGACCATTTGAAGGGAAAATAGTGAAGTATCTTTTGGCACATTATTTCCATTCTAATAGCTAAAGTGTGGTAACACTATACTTATTGATTATAACATTTTTTGGCTTTGAAAAATGCTATTGCATGGCACAAGAATGCTTTTTGTGTTCGGTTAGTCATATGGCATTTTTTATCATAAGAACAAAACGTCTACATGTAGGACATATGTAGGATTGTACAGAATTTCACTCAAATATGTGCGTGTTAAACAATGTGACCTGACAATGTGATCATGAATTCTGTGTCACTTATCTATGTTGTTGTTATTGTCAGCAGCTGGGAAATCCCCGTGACGTCATTGGGAAACACCTGCTTTTTCGATCTC